ACACGAAATTGCTTGGCTTTTGTCGGGGTGGAAATCCATGTGGATGTGTGAGCTATCATATAACGCTGTGAAGTGCCTCTTCCCTAATTATGGGCTAGACTGCTATAATTATTATTTAAATTGTACTTTACTCTATTTTTTTATTCATATTATATTGTAAGGGGGGGGGGGTTGATTTTATGGGGGTTTTGTTAGTTCTTTTAGGTTTTTAAAGGGGGTTTTTTTCTTTTTTATTGAGGGGGTTGGGGATGTGGAGTATCTAATTATCTGGAGAAAGGGCTAGAAGAAAGCGGCATTTATCTGTGGCCTTTGGGGGCAGCCCCAGTTTGACATGGAATGTGCATGCATGTGGTTCCCTTTGTCGTGTCTGGGAGGGGCGAGGGAAATATCAGTACGTGTGTGTCAGCCGTAGATAGATAGACAATAGGCCTGTATTGTAATATCCGAGACTAGGCACCCATGACGGAAGTCCGGTTCACAGTGGGGTGCACGATCTCTTAACTTTATTTCGAAACCAAATGTGAGGCAAGGAGAGAAAGGTTTCGCGCACACTTGAACTTGAATACTGTAACAAGACTTGTGTTTGTCCTTCATATTTTGCGCGTCCCTGATGCGTACCTTGCAGAGCGGCCAAGCTTTTTGTAGAGGACACTCCAGAAAATTATAAATCATGATTATAGGGAATGTTTGATTTCTGGTAAAATGTCGTGTTTTATAGGGCATGTTTGATTTCTGGTAAAATGTCGTGTTTTATAGGGCATGTATCGTTAGACTACTAGTAAAATGTCGGGTTTTATCAGACATGTTTGACAACTGGTAAAATGTCGTGTTTTATAGGGCATGTTTGACAACCGGTAAAATGTCGTGTTTTATAGGGCATGTTAGACTACCAGTAAAATGTCGTGTTCTATAGGGCATGTTTGACAACTGGTAAAATGTCGTGTTTTATAGGGCATGTTTGATAACTGGTAAAATGTCGTGTTTTATAGGGCATGTTTGACAACTGGTAAAATGTCGTGTTTTATAGGGCATGTTAGACTACCAGTAAAATGTCGTGTTTTATAGGGCATGTTTGACAACTGGTAAAATGTCGTGTTTTATAGGGCA